GGTGAACAATTCCTAATCTTAGCCACAGTGAATATGTGAACAAGGCAAAGAACAACCACAGAGTTGGTGAAATTCTACAGATTAGTCGTCCATATATTCCACGATAGATTTCAGGAATCATGTAACTTCCAAATCACCAGTTACACTTTTTCTTCTATAAAAAGCAAATATTATACAAGTGACTCTTACCCATCCGTTACAATTAACTGAAAGACATAAAATCTCCAAACTTTAAATTTCTGTGATTAAGTTACCCAGTAGTATTCTCCTTGTTACTGGATCTAATGCTTCTCACATCTGTGAAATTTATAAGCATGTTAACTTGTTCCCTTAAGCTAAAAAATATAATGTTTATCCGCTTTTCTTATTGCTATTTCAAAGCCCGCCTCAGTAACGTACGGCACGTATTAACCGCAACGTTTACGCAAAGGAAAATCTACCAATCACAGTGTGCGTAAGTGACCTTCAAGTGCTCAGCCTCTCCATAAGCCATTTGTGCCGCTATCCTCTATCGTCTCTTTAGGTAGAGGATAGAGGCACAAATCAGCTGATTGCTGCAGTTTTAAGGTGTTATCGTGGTGTTGTGTTTAGGCTATTCTACGTTGTTTTTAGTGGTTTTTTCGACAGAAATGCATTTTAAAAATCATATTTTAACGAAAAAACGTGTAAAAAGTGAGAAAAGTAATCGTTTTCATTGTGTTAACGAAATGCTGTCTTTTCATCGAATCGACATCCCGAGATGCATAAGAAATGAAACAATTCATTGAAAAATGTCAATTATGATAGAAAATGCTAAATTATTACAAATTTTGAAGTTTATTTTACGTATATGATGAGAAAAGGGTTAGATATCGAGGTAATTTTAATTTCATGACTTTTACCAAATTGCTCAGAAATAAAGGAAATCGAGTTGGTTATTTCGTCAGATAACGGTGAAGAGATAGTCATTTAACTAGTACGTACTGTATTATATGTTTATTTATTTAACTCATCACATCTTGACTGAATGTTTATTTTTAATTTCCAGATTATGGTCTTCAATCCCGCAATCACTGAATACATTTAGACATTCTAATTGGGATTAAAAACGATAATATTTGTGTAAATGATGGAATTTTTGTGATATTAATAATGTATTTATCGAAATAAATATTGTTTTACAAATTTTGCTCCATTAATACTTAGTGTTTGTCGAGTTGCAAAGTGATGCCAATGTAGAAGACGTAATATTCGTAAAATGGCATATTCACACGTTGCTGAATTTCATCACGATGGGGTACTGTTATCGCTTTTGAGTAATTGCTTTCGCTAGTAAATCTTAAATAGACGTTATGCACAACAAAGGCCTATTTAATGCGTCACAGTATTTCATGATAGCAAAATAATCAACGAAGTTTAGTGACGTAGTCAACTAATTAGTTGCATTAATGCACGAGTCTAAGTGTTGGTGTGATCATGTAAGAGCCTTTTGATACGAAATGATAACACAAGAAAAGTAATGTAGTTTTCTCCTTATTACCTAATGATACCCTTCGAGATAGTGGTGTTAAACGCAACATAATAATAACAGAGTATCTGTGATAAGTGGGACACACGTCGCATTGTGTACTTGCAGTGCCTGGACTACTACTACATGTCGTCTGCATATAGAACCTACGTTTGCTAGACTTTGTTTCGTTATTACAGTACGAACACATATTTGACGGCTACTTTCTTAACAATCTTGAATATTAATCTTATACGCAACTGAAACACTTTACGCAAGGCTTGATGACGCATAGAGGAAGTAATAACAGTTTATGACTGACGCATTTCACATAAGTATTAGAACGTTGCCTATCATTCTCGTTAACTCTGCAATGTCCTCAAAATAAGTAAAAGAGATAAAGTTAGTCAACATAAATGCATATATTTGTAAGGAAACAATAATCAATCAAATTAAAAATGACTCATAATAAAAGAGTACATATATACACAAAAAAGAGTTAATAACAATCCAGTGAAAAAATCACAGTTGTAGACTTTTTATAGCTGCATCGTAGTCATCATAAAGTCCACCAAACCCTCTAACCGCAACATCTGTGTCAGTTTGCCTCCGTTGTTAGCGGTGTTGGACCAGTCTTTGCAGTTTTCGTCACCACCAGTTCCGTTCGCAGAAGCTGGATGTGAAATTTTCAAGCAGAGATTGAGATTATATTCCTTCGACTGCCTTCGGCCGTATTGAGAAATATCTGAGGATGTATACATATCGGGTAAATAATTCTTACCTTTGGTGAACAATTCCTAATCTTAGCCACAGTGAATATGTGAACAAGGCAAAGAACAACCACAGAGTTGGTGAAATTCTACAGATTAGTCGTCCATATATTCCACGATAGATTTCAGGAATCATGTAACTTCCAAATCACCAGTTACACTTTTTCTTCTATAAAAAGCAAATATTATACAAGTGACTCTTACCCATCCGTTACAATTAACTGAAAGACATAATATCTCCAAACTTTAAATTTCTGTGATTAAGTTACCCAGTAGTATTCTCCTTAATACTGGATCTAATGCTTCTCACATCTGTGAAATTTATAAGCATGTTAACTTGTTCCCTTAAGCTAAAAAATATAATGTTTATCCGCTTTTCTTATTGCTATTTCAAAGCCCGCCTCAGTAACGTACGGCACGTATTAACCGCAACGTTTACGCAAAGGAAAATCTACCAATCACAGTGTGCGTAAGTGACCTTCAAGTGCTCAGCCTCTCCATAAGCCATTTGTGCCGCTATCCTCTATCGTCTCTTTAGGTAGAGGATAGAGGCACAAATCAGCTGATTGCTGCAGTTTTAAGGTGTTATCGTGGTGTTGTGTTTAGGCTATTCTACGTTGTTTTTAGTGGTTTTTTCGACAGAAATGCATTTTAAAAATCATATTTTAACGAAGAAACGTGTAAAAAGTGAGAAAAGTAATCGTTTTCATTGTGTTAACGAAATGCTGTCTTTTCATCGAATCGACATCCCGAGATGCATAAGAAATGAAACAATTCATTGAAAAATGTCAATTATGATAGAAAATGCTAAATTATTACAAATTTTGAAGTTTATTTTACGTATATGATGAGAAAAGGGTTAGATATCGAGGTAATTTTAATTTCATGACTTTTACCAAATTGCTCAGAAATAAAGGAAATCGAGTTGGTTATTTCGTCAGATAACGGTGAAGAGATAGTCATTTAACTAGTACGTACTGTATTATATGTTTATTTATTTAACTCATCACATCTTGACTGAATGTTTATTTTTAATTTCCAGATTATGGTCTTCAATCCCGCAATCACTGAATACATTTAGACACTCTAATTGGGATTAAAAACGATAATATTTGTGTAAATGATGGAATTTTTGTGATATTAATAATGTATTTATCGAAATAAATATTGTTCTACAAATTTTGCTCCATTAATACTTAGTGTTTGTCGAGTTGCAAAGTGATGCCAATGTAGAAGACGTAATATTCGTAAAATGGCATATTCACACGTTGCTGAATTTCATCACGATGGGGTACTGTTATCGCTTTTGAGTAATTGCTTTCACTAGTAAATCTTAAATAGACGTTATGCACAACAAAGGCCTATTTAATGCGTCACAGTATTTCATGATAGCAAAATAATCAACGAAGTTTAGTGACGTAGTCAACTAATTAGTTGCATTAATGCACGAGTCTAAGTGTTGGTGTGATCATGTAAGAGCCTTTTGATACGAAATGATAACACAAGAAAAGTAATGTAGTTTTCTCCTTATTACCTAATGATACCCTTCGAGATAGTGGTGTTAAACGCAACATAATAATAACAGAGTATCTGTGATAAGTGGGACACACGTCGCATTGTGTACTTGCAGTGCCTGGACTACTACTACATGTCGTCTGCATATAGAACCTACGTTTGCTAGACTTTGTTTCGTTATTACAGTACGAACACATATTTGACGGCTACTTTCTTAACAATCTTGAATATTAATCTTATATGCAACTGAAACACTTTACGCAAGGCTTGATGACGCATAGAGGAAGTAATAACAGTTTATGACTGACGCATTTCACATAAGTATTAGAACGTTGCCTATCATTCTCGTTAACTCTGCAATGTCCTCAAAATAAGTAGAAGAGATAAAGTTAGTCAACATAAATGCATATATTTGTAAGGAAACAATAATCAATCAAATTAAAAATGACTCATAATAAAAGAGTACATATATACACAAAAAAGAGTTAATAACAATCCAGTGAAAAAATCACAGTTGTAGACTTTTTATAGCTGCATCGTAGTCATCATAAAGTCCACCAAACCCTCTAACCGCAACATCTGTGTCAGTTTGCCTCCGTTGTTAGCGGTGTTGGACCAGTCTTTGCAGTTTTCGTCACCACCAGTTCCGTTCGCAGAAGCTGGATGTGAAATTTTCAAGCAGAGATTGAGATTATATTCCTTCGACTGCCTTCGGCCGTATTGAGAAATATCTGAGGATGTATACATATCGGGTAAATAATTCTTACCTTTGGTGAACAATTCCTAATCTTAGCCACAGTGAATATGTGAACAAGGCAAAGAACAACCACAGAGTTGGTGAAATTCTACAGATTAGTCGTCCATATATTCCACGATAGATTTCAGGAATCATGTAACTTCCAAATCACCAGTTACACTTTTTCTTCTATAAAAAGCAAATATTATACAAGTGACTCTTACCCATCCGTTACAATTAACTGAAAGACATAATATCTCCAAACTTTAAATTTCTGTGATTAAGTTACCCAGTAGTATTCTCCTTAATACTGGATTTAATGCTTCTCACATCTGTGAAATTTATAAGCATGTTAACTTGTTCCCTTAAGCTAAAAAATATAATGTTTATCCGCTTTTCTTATTGCTATTTCAAAGCCCGCCTCAGTAACGTACGGCACGTATTAACCGCAACGTTTACGCAAAGGAAAATCTACCAATCACAGTGTGCGTAAGTGACCTTCAAGTGCTCAGCCTCTCCATAAGCCATTTGTGCCGCTATCCTCTATCGTCTCTTTACCTTAAGTAATTCATGATACGATTCTACGGTCTTATTTTATGGTTTTCATATCTGTGGAGCATTACTGAAATCTGGTTAAATTAATTTGAGTGCAGAAAACTAGAAGCCTCTGTTATCTGTAATCTTAATTCTTCAACTGATTTTTGGGGCTGTAATTGCTAAGGTGTGTTGTATAATACAGTTGTTTTACAACACTTTCAAACTGTCTAACAAATTCGTGTTCTGAATTTTTTATTTAGCAAACTTGAGGTGCTTTCTAAAGTATGAAGTCGATCACTTTAAAGTGGTGGTTAATTCGAAGTATATATTAATTAATGGTATTGTAGTGAGTACGATAGACAACAGAAAATCTTTCTAATCTTTTATAACTCAGTCTTCCATTTTCTCATTAAATAACGAGTGATCATTTTCTTTCATAAAATAAAATGATAGCATACTCTATCATATATATTATATATAGACAAGGGTTGGGCGAAGAAATATTTGCTTCCCAGTTAGATACTCGTTAATTTTTAAACTAATTTTTTTCAGATTTGTTTGCACATCAGTACCTCACGTCTATATATTTCAGGTGAACGGATGTGACGTATAAGGACTTTGATAGATTCACCAATTGACCAATTTACATTTAGACTTTGAGCTAGATTCGAATAATACCGGGTGCTGACTGACATGCTCCTGACTTTTGTGTCTACAATGTCCCATAATTGGTACAGTATTTTAAATGGAATTAAAGTCTGTAACAATGCTTTCTAAAATGGGGGAAACAACTTCCACTTTTGGTTTCTCCTGAGTTTCACTTTTATTTGACTAAGATGGTGACTATATATAGTCCATATATAGGCGAATTGCAGACATTCTGGGGCAGACTTCGGGACAGTGTCCCACGTAAGTAGATCTACCCGAAGTTTTTGTCCCTAAAAGTCTGCAATGCGCCCGAAAAAATGCTAGCTGGGTACTTCTGCCAACAACTGTAGTGTTGCTTTATTTGGATTTTACATCTGCTAAACAACAAGACTGCCATATATTTATACCATCTTCTAGATTTTCAGACTTCAAGTCTTAAAAACGTTTACTCTAGCAGTTTAAATTAAGTTCAACACAGTCATGCAAAGACTGGAGACTCCTACAAAATATGTAAACATTCTGTCAGCGCTTGCTTGTGACTCAGGGTTTATAGATTGTAACTGAATCCCATATTTATCGGCAACTCACTCTCCTTGGGTAATGACCTAAATTGTCGTGCTAGTTTGCATTATGTTCCTATGACTGATGAAAATTTCACTCTTGGTTATCAAAGTCACCTTATATTCAGTACAATGCAGGTTTTGAAAAATCATTAGATGCTTTCAAACATTACTGTGAAACATGCTAGTTATAAAGCGATCTTAGAGAAACTACGAAATGATATTATCTCGCGAAATTTGTCTTCTAAACGCCTTATGTTTTAATGATTTTATTCGTCAAAATTTTAGGATTTTTAATATCATCGAAGTCTATAAAGTGCCTTTAATTTCGTTTCTGTATAGCTTAGACAGGCAGTGAATAAATTATTTAATAAATTCTCTTGGTGTCCACTACTTAAACGACAGTTTTTTTTTGTATAATATAGGATTTCATCCCTCGGTCATTCTAATGGCTCCAAAACTTAATTGTTGTAATCACTTTGTGTATATTTTGGTAGGCCCCTTGTATTTTTATTAAATTTTCTTAGTCAAGATTTCGAATGAACGACGTGAAATTATTTCTACTTGGATTGGGATTTGTATTTCTTATCAGATGGGCTACCAATTTGTCTGAAAAACCAAAATTTAAATGTCTGTCTGATGGTAGTTTGATCTGGAATACAAAAAATTATTCCCTATTCTCTTTAAGTATGTTTCTTATATCCTTAATATAATGTTTTTAACAGCTGATGTTAGCTATGCTCAAAATCTTGCTAAAAAAGTGAATATTTATTGCTTTGTACTGACGGAACCTCGAGCACATAAATCGAAAGCATATCATGTTCAAACAACGTGGATTCGAAGATGTACTCGGTATGGTTTTATCAGTTCAAAACCAGAAAAACTGCTTAAAATGCTCCGTAAGTTATTTATTTATCTTTTAAAGGTAACTTAAGCTTTTCAAATACTTTGGCTTTCCAAAGAGTTTTGTTTATACAAAAGAATTATATCATACACCACCTTTAAATGAAATCATTAACCATAGTGCAGTGGCTAACAATGTAGTTTCTTGTACAGACCTTTTTTTCACTCAGCTCCTCATGACTGAAGGTCTGCTGTAAATTGTTTTCTATGCTTTTCAATTTTCTATCATGCATAAAAACTTGCCCTTGAAGTCCTAGATTTATAGATCGTGTTTTATGTAGTAAACTAAATAAGTAGTCAGAATAATTTGGCGCAATTATTGCATCAAATAATATCAAAAAATAAAGATGATAAAAGCGACTAATGAAAATAACGGTAGACGAAATAATACATAAATTTAGAATAGCGTGTTGTCTTTGGAACAAATTGACTCACATATGTCAACGCAGTGGTTTTCGGTGGTTCTACTTAAAACATTTTTTCTTTTTAATCGTACTCAGAAAATCTTTTGCACGTCATATAATTCAAATTTAGTTTGAGTAACTCTATGCCGTGATAATTTATATCAATTTGAGTATTGCTAGACTTTATCCCGTCTAACTTTTTACTACAGTCAACACCACCAACTTAGATTGTGGTTTGTTGGATATGCACCAAATGCACTTTCTAGGTAATCTAACAATTTTCTAAAATGATTTTATCAAGTTTTATTTAACACTGATAAAATTACACCCCGACCTAAATGCTACGCATTTGGGAGCTTTATCAAACCTCTAAGCTAACATAGAGGTGTGAATAGCCACGTACTTTGTTGTTGGTATGTTCATAACAGTAGGCGTGATGGCCCTATGAGTGGATCCACGGTTCAGTGGCTGAGGCTCTCAACTTACATCTAGCAGGTCCCTGGCTCAAAACCCATCCCACTAACTTCAGCCTAAGAGACTAGATAGTGCCAATAGCCTTCGCACGATAAGTGTAGCACTTACTAATTGTCACAAATGACAGTCTCCATGTCGGCAAACAGTCTTCCTAAAGTGATGTATCCAAACAAATGGATAATTTACGGTCAGAAAGAACTGGAAGAATTTACCATTGCTATGGTGTAATCTAGCTGTGACCAGAAATATATGTTTATTTTATTCGCATCCTGTCTATTGTTCTTTTTTGACTAAAAGAGACAAAGAATAGGTGATATCCGTTTGAAGCCCTCATTAACGATCCGGCACGACTGAGAGAGGGTAAACCTCAGCCTTTTTCTTTAAGTGCTTTCATGTGGCCTCTGCTATGCAGGTTGAACTGACTGCCTTTACGCAGAGGGATTGTTATCCACAAAAGTGAAAAGGCGAGTGCGAACGTCTGGTGCTTACAGCCAGACTAGTGGACCTGATCGTTTTCCTAGGAGAGGTGAGAAACTATGATTCCGACCCCATGGTGTACATGGGCTCCAGAATCTAAAAGGATCGAATAGTGCATGAACTTTTTTTGGTCATCGCTGCTCCGCTGCCTTGTGGATAAGACTTCAAGTCAAAGGTTCGCGGGTGGGGTGGCCCCTTAAGACAACCACCTGCTTCAGTCTGGACAGTATCTCAGCCCTTCCACAAATTATGAGAGTTTGTGCGGACCATCTGTTGGTGGCTGCAATGTACCAAGTTCGTGTTTTAATAATATATCGGTTTAAAGGAACATTTTTACCTGTAGAAATATATTATCAAGGCTTGTCATAAAATTTTCCCCTCTAAATGAAACTAGTATCACTACACTTCGCTACCTTATGACTTAATTAACTCTGTAAGTAATTTTGTTAATTGTTTGAGTTAATGTTTGTACTTCCCGTTGGTTGACTTACATTGGACCTAGGTGGATATATCGGCTCCTAGTACGAACGCCTCAACGATGCTTAAAGGTTAAGATGATGTCATCTTGTTCATTTATGCTACTATTGTGGCCAAAATGTACATTTCACTTTAGCACTTGATACGATGAGTGGTGAGTCCGAGTTCCAGTGGGAACACTATCATTCACCTAGAATACAAGTACACCCAGCTGTTAAGTTCCAAATAGGCCGAAATACGCATTCTGGATTCCATCAACTAGATAATTTTTGTTTTTCTCCCTTAAATGTTTTTATACTTTCTTTTTTGTTTCCTATCTAGCTGTTAACAGAACACATAATTATAATAAGCATTCATGGATTTCAATGCGTGAAACTCTTCGTGCAGTCTATGCTCAAACATATAAAGCGGCTTATTTTTTAAAAGCTGATGATACAACCTATATAATTTTAGAAAATCTAAGAAATGCTTTAGAGTATACAAATCCTCGGGAACCGTTTATTATGGGTCATATTCATGAAGTGAGTTCAAAAAAATTTGGTACTAATAACTAAATGGTTTTGATATATTAACAATAATTTGAAGGGTAATATAATACAAAATATTAGAAAGTTCAAATCGACTGACGACCAGATTTGGTTTGCTTTCAAGAATCTAATTGGCCCTTTTCGAATTAGTTCAAGTACTGTGTTGAAGAGACTGTGCTGAAAAATAAAATTTAGCAGTTATTCAGTATTTAAATAACTATTAGGTAGGTGGTCCGCTATAATAATGGAAGTAGGATTTACTTGGAAGGATGCACAAACATAGTATCACTTCATGAAATTATTTGCTGTTGGTCTGAAACTTCGTTTGAAAGTGTAGTCTGTCTGATTAAGATCCACTCTCCAATTGATCGCTACGCTATAAAAATACATTCATATCCTGTCTTTTTAATTATAATCATGACTTCCCTTTACTTATGTTATCTTTCCTTCCTATATCTTGTGGCGTTGTAATACTTTTGCTTAAGTATCATACCCGTATCTTTGCATTATACCTGATATATGGTGCGGCTGTTTGGACCACTGTGCAGTATGGCTAGAAAGAATAAACAACAAGAGACTGTGCCAGCAATAATCTGCCCCGGAAATAAAGATGAAATGGACCCATGCTAAGAAGACCTTCAAGTGGCATTACAAGCCAGTGAAGCCCAAATAAGAAGTAATAGGTAGAAAGTGGATCCAACAGTAACATGGATGAAGGAGGGATGGAAAGCTTGTAGACATTCTTAGAGTGAGTTGTAAGTGATGTCAGAGAACTGAGTAAAAGGGGGATCTTTGGTTGGTTGCTAAGTAGTAGCTAATTTCATGCATCTAGTCCAGTTACAAGTCAAGCTTGTAGACTATTCAGCCACTGAGACCCGACTCAATAGGCAGTCCATGAATTTCAAATTCTACCGACATGTGATTTTAGCGCGACTACCAGCCAATGTTATCGGCGAATATTTGTACTCAATCCCGATCAGATGAAACCTACTGGTCACAACTTATCACTAGAACTTCAGTCAACTTCGTCCTGTAGCCAATCACTAGCGAGGATCAGATTAATTTTCAAGAGTTAGTTTGTGAGGATTTGATATGTACCAGAAGGCCCTGAGTTCGAACCGCAGGGGTTGTGTACTGCTGATGAGCCACAAACTAAAATGAAACAGCTGTGTAGTACTCCCTGCTGCTTTTCAATGGTTCTCTAACTGATATCAATCTGTGGTCACACTTGAGACGAAATGTCGTTGAACTACAATAGATTTAGGTATACGAGAGAAAAAGGGAATCATTAAATAAAGATTATTAAAGCCTTTCAGAGTCTAGAAGATAACAAGGAGTGAATACATTTCCACAATGAAGTTAGGAATTTTCATCCATTGATCCTTAGGTTCCTGAGGACTCTAGTCAGTCAACCTATACCTCCCAAGGCGACTAAGACCAACACACCTTCAGACTTTAAGGGTGGGTGATATGTTTTGATTCGGTTGTGTCTCTTTTCTAACATAACCCTATTTCAGCTGACATTGTTTACCAAAAAAAGTGGTGGTTCGGTATACGTGATATATGTCCTAACCACATTAATCGATGATGTCATACAAACTCATCCATAAACTATGTATGGAAAAGATTTTAGAAACGTAACTATCTGTAGATAGATCATCCTGCAGTCTTGTCTGGTTGTCATGTCTTCATACCACTACTACAAAAGGTTTAAAAAGAAAGCTAGTTACCGATTAGAAAAAAGGTTACCTTGTCAAACTCTTCTTTTAGAACAACATAGAATCTGGAAAAGTAAATTGTGCACGGATCAAATTGCAACGTTATAAATCATCATCGAACAAGACACAGGATGGCAGTCAACCGCCTACATCAATTTCATCAACTTCGAAAATGCCTTTCATAGCGTCAACCGTAAAGTAATTTGGAGATTATCCGACATTACAGAGTGCCTCACACCTTTATAAACCTTATTCAACAGCTATATGATGATGTACAATGCCAAGCGATTTACAACAGAAAGCTCAGTGAAACCCTTCAAGTGAAGACAAGAATGAGACAAGGCTTCCTACTATCATTTGATGATCTTCCTGATTGTAGTGAACTAGATCATACACAACAGACCGTGGGGAACAAAAAGCAGACAAACTTTCATCAACAGCTGCCTTCACTCCATACTAAAGATCAGACGGCTTAAATTAATAATCAACAAAGAACTGCAGCAACGAACCAGCTGAGAAACTTTCGTTCAATAAATCTACAGAAAAAAGAAAAGAAGGTGGGTTGTACATACGCTAAAGAGAGTGTTGCGTGACACTCACCAGCCCTTTGGGCAGAATTGGAATGAGAAAAGATGATTTGGGTGGGGGTGGGGGGTCCAACGCTGACATGGAGGAGGTCGTGTGAGGAAGAAATGAAAACTTATGAGCAATAGTGGAGTCAGCTAAAACGAAAAAGACTGCAGGGAATAGACAGGAGAGGAGATGTGCCATTGAAGCCCCCTATGTTCCACCCTCTGAACCCAAAGGTATAATCATCACCAATACTACTGATAATGTATTATTATTACTGTTGCTCCCTTGGGTTCCTAGTAGAGCAGAGCTTCAGCTGCACGTCTCCACTTGCTTCTGCTGTACTTTTCACCTGCATCCATGTCAGTCCATACTCTTTCAACTCCTCTTCACAAGACCTCCTCCATGTCATCCTTCCACTGACGTCCCACCCGCCGCTTCCCTTTCGGCCTGGTTCCACTCAAGGAATGGCCTGACTTGCGCACGATGTCACCCAGCGGTCTCCTTAGCGAGTGTCCAATCCATCTCCACTTTCTCCTGCATATTTGTTGGGCGATTGGCTCTTGTTTTGTTCCTTCCCATAGTTCCTTGTTGGTGATTCTTTCCGGCCCGACCATCTGATCTTCAGTGTAGAGCGAAGACAGTTGTTGGTTGATAAAGATCTGCAACCTATTGGTTGGAAATATTCTTTGTGACCCGCCCGCCAAGTTTCTGATCTGCATAGAAGAACTGACTGACTTTACGTTTGTATTGAAGATCCGAATTTTGTTGTTGATTCTGGCTGAGTGACGAAGATTTCCAGATTGGTTTCAGGTTGATGAATGTGTTTCTCGCCTTCCCGATTCTCGCTCGATTTGACATCCTCGTCCGTTCCGACTGCTTGTAGTTGAGACAATGCTCCCTAGATAAGCGAGTGAATGAAGTGACCTCTTTCAAATCCCTTCCGTTGATGGTGATTGGCGCTGGATGTTGCTGTTGTTGTTGTTGGTTGGTTGGTTATTTTCATAATCTCCGTCTTGTCTATGTTCACCTGGGTCCTCTCTTCACTGGCTGCTTCTTCAACCAGTTTTTCGGTTTTCACTTGTAAGTCTTCGATTTTGTGTGACATCGAACATAAATCATCCACGCGCGAAATCCAGGTCTTCTAGGTTCTTCACGTCGGTTCAGACAGAATATCCCTGTCTTCTCGTTTCCCACTGTCTGATGCATAATCCAGTCTGTCCACCACAATTAGGAATATCATTGGTGACAATGTATTGATACTTGTTTTTTAACCAATCCAAAAGTTTAACTGTCCATACGAGAATTAAATAAGTCTGGTGTTATTTATATACTGTTTGACACTTTTCTGAATGACAATCCGTTTGAAAATGAAGATTCATTCACTTGAATCTGTAAAGTGTTTCACAACTCGTGCGTTACTTCAAGAAGTTTTGAAATTGGTCGTGATTTGAAAACAAAACAAAAACCCTAAATCTCACAGTTTTTGTTTATTTATTTTTTTGTTTTTGTTTCAGATAAACTTTATCACTACCACTTAAAAATTGTAGTATGAGATCATTACACACATACATATATAGATATGTATAGGTACTATTGGACTTTGACATGAACTGACATTGAGTAGAGAATCATGAAAGAAAAAAAGAAGAAACTAAAATGTACTTTATGATTTTCGACAGAACCAAAAAGGTCTCTGTGCTGGTTAATTTTGAACTACGAAGCTTTCATTATCACCCTAGACACAGCATCTTCAATGCTGACTTTTGAATTTTAAAATTCACTGTCTGACAGTGAGAGAAAGACAGTAAGAAATTAAAGTTTTGCATTAATACCACATTCAAACAGCATGATTCTTTACATGCTGGATGATCTGTCCCAATCGTTTCTTCATTAGATCACTCTGATAGTAGCAAATCCTAAATTACTATTATTATTATTCCCTTGTATCTTCTTATCGGTCGTCCAGCGTATTCCTGACTCTTCACCCTCAACAGTCTGGTGCATAATCCAGTCGAGCACCACAATTAAGAATATCATCAGTGATAATAGGCAGTCAGCCTTATCTTACTCCTGTATGCACTTCGAACGCCTAATTGTCTTACACTGGACCCCTCTAGTTATCAGAGTGTTGATTTTAGTATCTGGCGTGAAAAAAGCCCTGTGTGGACTGATTCAATTCTATGATTGTTGTCATATCTATGCCATTGTGGTAGGAAATAAATCGAATGTTATCTACTTCGGTGTCAGTTTCTCTTCCAATCTCTATTGGTCGTCTCGTATCTTGTTGGATTTCCAAGAAAGATATCTTCCCTTTGAGTCAAGAATTTCTGGTATAACTTAACCTCTTCTCTTATAATTTATTAATTCATGTATTTCTATCCATTCATCTTTATTGTTCCTTCTTATTCTTCCATGAGTTTCTGAGAAAGGACTATATTTATATTATGTGGGACTTTGAAGGCTTTAAGCAGGGTTAAGACAGTGGGCAATTAGCTCAAGTAACTGACATAGTTGTTGATATACATTATAATCGCTGCAAGCAATTGGCTAAAGTCGTCTTGTTTGATAGTGAATATCCTCTTTTATTCACAACTTTAACCTTGTATCTCTTCAGATAGGACCAGAAGAAATTTCATAGAAGTTTATTTTAAAATTCAACCATACTATATTTAGGACGGGAATTGTATGAAACTTATTACCAGTATTATTATTACCTATAATATTTTTCTATTTACTCTAGTATTTTTACCATGTAATTTATTTATATGTAAGAGAAGATAAATAGTTGCGATATGTATACATGACTGTTATTATTATTCCCTTGGGTTACGAGTGGAACATAGGCCTTCAACAATACATCTCCACTTTGTTCTGTTTTCTGCTGTCCTCTTTAACTGGGCCCACGACTGGCCATAATCTCTCATCTCCCCCCCCCCACGACCACATGACCTCCTCTGTGTCAGCTTCTAACCAACGACCCATTCGTCGCTTCCCATTAGGATTCCACTCTAGCGATGACCTGCATTGCGCGCTATGTTATTCGATGGCCTCTTCAGCCGGTGTATGCCGGATCCATCTACATTTTCTCCAACATATTTAGTGAGCGCTTGGCTCTCGGGTGGTTTGTTCCCAGCCAGAGTTTCTCGTAGCTAATTCTTTCTGGCTCTCCGGCTGGTCATTTGATCTTCAGTATGGAGCCAGCCAGTGAAGTGGGCAGCTGTTGATAAAAGTCTGTAGCTGGCTGTTGGAAATGCTTTTCGTGACTGACACGCAGTGCAAGTTTCTCTCCCTAATAATAAAAGAACTGATTTGACATTTCTGTTGGAAATCCTAATCTTGTTCTTTATGCTGAGTGGTATAGGTACAATGCTAAAAACTCCAGTCTGTATAGTAGTTATTGTTGTTAGGAATAAAGTGATTATTACTATTATTCCTTTAGCCCCTCATTACCATGGAAATCAATTTATTGTGTACAAAGTTTAACTCTTATCTTAATCCTAGTTGGTTTGCGGTCTAGTGTTTGTTTGGTAATCATAACTTTTAACGTAGTTTAGTTATCTGACACATTTTTTCTGTGCTAAACTGTAAACTACAGTAAATGTAGTGGAATACTACCACTGTAACAACAGAAGACAAGGGCTGTCAACATATCGTTTGATTACGAAAATCAACACGTATTTATATATATTTCACATACATTATTATAGCTTATGCAAGTAGACAAACGCAGGCTTCTGATTGGTTGTTTCGGGATTCCTCGAAAAATAGAGTTCTCTACCTGCGAATCATATTTTTCCACGTTAAGTCTGCTATGTTTGGTTGTTTAATCAGTCTTGTACATATTTTCTCACGGCCTGCTCTCACCACACCACTATCGATGGTTCATTGGTAGGATGCTAGCCAACCCCACACAGGATCTGGATTCGATTCCCGACTGGCACACTCCTAAACCTCTTTTAGCTGGTAGTAAGCCTGGTAAGGTGGTAAGGTTTGTACATGTGCCTAGCAATCTCAACCTGTAAGAAAAATCACCGCTGCCAAAACTTCAATAATCAGGTTTGAAACCCTTTGCTCCGCTCAAAATGCAACGGAATTTCAAAGAAATGGCACTATTTGTTTATCCAAGCTAAAAAAAAGTGAAGTGAAGTAGAACGGAGTGGAATAGAATTGAGTTTTTTAGACTCAAAAACTGCTAAATTCGAAATCAAGCCCTGTATTCCAATAAGCAATACATCCTGTTTGTCTGATCAACTGCACCAATTTACTTTCTGTTTTTTAAATAAGCAAATATTATTGTCTTATGATTTTATCAGGATTAATAATGTGTAATAAAATATTAATTTGTTTATTGGATATATTACACAGTGAAACAGTATTGTTATTTACTGGCTGACAAAGTTTCGAACACAATTTATTACTGTTCATAATCATATCACGCACATACAATCACACGACTTCGAAACTTGAGATTTATAGTTTTCTTTATTCTTTCCTATTTGTCGTAGAGGTAGTAGGATTTCCTAGATGTCTGGATGGATATTTGTTGAATCCTTCCTATTACACGTATTTTCACTTGATTTGATAAATAAACCTTCTGTTATCAATCTCTCCCTCCACTCTGTGACATTAGATTTTAAAACTGTCATCTTATCCCATCATCCTATTGCATGGTTGTGTGCGAATACATCTAGTGAGAGGTCTAGCTGAACTATTCTCCAGATTTCTTATTTTATTCAGGTCAACCAATCTAGATTTTGCCAGGTTTTTATGCTCCGCTAGTCTTCCTGACCACGTTCTACTACTTTGACCTATGTACTTGACCTGACAATCATTACAGCAGGGTTTTAGATAAACTAAGTTGTGTATTTCCACTTGGAATTTAAATACTTTGGAAGTCAGACATAGCTATACTCTTAGCATTATATCCTCTAGTGGAAATTTTGTTCTAAGTTCAAGTTCGTGGTCAGAAATGAGTTCGTTTCTGACCGTTTCTATGACCATGTTTATCACAATACGTATGTATAAACTGATAATGTCAAAACTAACGATTTTTCCCTCAATAATTTTAAATGATCTAATCTATGTTTTAGTTCATTGGAATTTGTTTGTCTAGATTTTGAATGACTTCTAAGCGGATTTAATACCATAGTTAAATATTTAGACAGTTCATAAGTAGTTAAATTTTTAAAATCAACTATGGGTTTATTGAATATCCTGACTCATGAACTTCAACAACATGATACATCCTATTGTAAAACGAAATTTTCGAAGGTGTGTGGTTACAACTGGTATGATTATGAACAGTAATAAATTGTGTTTGAAACTTTGTCATCCAGTAAATAATAGTAATACTGTTTCACTGTGTGATATATCCATCTAATAAACAAATTAGTATAGAATTGAATTACATACTACCACAGTGCCCAAGTTATATATATATATATATATATATATATATATATATATATATATATATATATATATTAATGTGTATTTTGTCTATCATTGTCTGCCTCCAGATTAAACCAAATGAATTCACTTTATCTGGTAGTTTTGGTTATGTATTATCACAAGCAGCTCTTAACTTAATTGTTCGTAAAGGATTAGATAAATTACCTGAATGTGGACCAATTCCACATGTTCGTGAAGATGCTCAAATATGTGAGTTGGTTTTGTTTTTTCTAACATGGAAGTTGTTCTTAGTGTTATTGACTGTTGAAGATCTCTTGAAATTTGAAAGCAATACTAAGGAACTAAAACAGATGGAATAACTAAATGTAGAATGATCAAGATTTAATGAATCCGAGAGTTCACAAAGAGAGAATAAGTTTGCATCATTTCACCAACAGTTTCCAATTGTTGGTTCTTAGCGTCTGAAGAACCCCACTCAAGAAGTAGTATACATCTCCTTAAGTGATTCAAATCAGTATAGTGAAAGACTGTACGGCTGTTTCATTCTAGTTTGAGAATCTTCATCAATACACAACCACCAGGGTTCGCACCCAGGACATTCCGGAGACAAGGCTAGAGAGCTCGTAGACCATTAAGCCACTGGGACCCGATCCAATGACTAGCCCATGAATTCTAACTTGTACCAATTCTTAAGTGTATCTGATGACATCGATCTTTTATGGCGACATCATAAGCCTATAGCTGACTGAACTTCTCTTTAATTTTTGTATTTGTTTTGTACTTACCATCAGCAAAATGTTTTCGCAATGTTGAGAAAACTCACGTTGTTTTCCAAGTTTGAATTTGTGTTTATTCTGTTTCACTTCTCAAAGACTTTACTACTTGTGTACACTTATACTGTAAGTTTGGAGGTGTTTAGCTTACTGATCTAAGAGCTCGGCTTTCCAACCACTAGGTAGATGGTGACATTTTCGAACCCCACTCCTTAGACAACCACAAAGTACCATCAATTATGTATGTCTTTCTTCTTAATCGAACTGAATTATGTATGAATAGAAATTGTGCTGCACTGTGTTAGAGTGCATAATTCCATTGTGGATAAAATTTATTTTGATAAAGTCTCACAGTAAAAGCGAAACAAAAATAAATTAAGAAAAGAACATACATCATCTACAGTTTTACCATATAAGGAGGGGACATCTGAGACCACCCTCCCTACGTAGGATTCTTAATAAAGCAGGAATTAGGGTGGCATTTAGACCTACAAACTCACTTAGGCAGAGACAAGCTGTATAGGTTAAAGAACCCTATTAACCCAATTAGGTAAAATAATCTAATTTACAAATTACCTTGCAATCACCGTGAAGTCATCTGCATAGGTCAAACCAGTAGATTCGGGGTAGTCAGATTATCGAAAAATAAGAATTTAGCCAAGTGTGGAATGATTGACCCCATCCACAAAGATAAGTAATTTAGAAAAAACCTTTAGAAAACCTTCTGAACACCTTGAGCTGCAATCTTCGTATGTTTGGCATGCGATTCGCCCCTGCAAAATGTAAGATGCTGCTACAGGACTGGACGACGTCAACCCCTAACTTAGTGATAGGGAGTGAAGTGATAGAACATGTTGACCACTTCACCTACTTGGGAAGTTGTATTAGCACCAACGGACTGATTGGCGATGAAATCTCAGCACGGATCCGAAAAGCTCGAGCTGCTTTCGCTGACCTACACCATCTCTGGCGTAGGCGTGACATCCGGTTATCAACCAAGGGACGTGTGTACTGCTCATCAGTTCGCTCCGTCCTTCTCTATGGCTCTGAAACATGGCCAATACGCGTTGAAGACATGAAAAGGTTGAGTGCTTTCGATCATAGATGTCTGCGATCTCTGTCTCACGTTAGGTGGTTTCACAAGGTAAGTAATGTTGACGTTAGGCGTAGAGTGTTGGGCAAAGAGGGAAAATCAATCGACGAGGTTATAAAGTTACATAGACTAAGATGGCTAGGTCACGTGGTGCGCATGCCTAACCACCGCCTCCCCCGACGGGCATTGTTAGCTGATATAGGTTCAGGTTGGAAAAGAGCCAGTGGTGGCCAAACAAAAACATGGCATCAATCCATGAAATCCTTGACAGTTAAACTGAGTCAGGTAGGGAGATGCAGACTCCCGGGTTGGGGCCCTCGGGACTCTAGGAATCAATGGCTGGAGACAATAGGTGACATGGCTCAAAATCGTTGTCAATGGCGCAGATGTATTCAATCTCTGTAATCTTTCATACTCCTTTCTACCATAACCCATTCTGCTTCACTCCTATATTTGTCAAACTCTATTAATTCTCTCCACTCATCTTCTTGTCTACCTCTGTGTGCTATTTGGAACGTGGCAACTCGAACTGCTGCACTTCGGTGCCAAGTTCTATGTTGAATCCAGACAGACAAGCAATTGCACTACATGCATTAACACACAACCACACAATAGGGTGGGAGAGGGTTAAAATTCTAAAAAGTAATCTAGGTAGGCGGAGAGAGAGAGGTTGATTACTAAATCTTCGTTCGTAGAATCTACACCCAACACGTGCAATAGGAATGACTTATCACTGATATCGGAAATATAGAAAATACTACTACCAATCAAATCAAGAGATAAGGAATAGTGGAACCATATAAACGAAGTTGGGAAGTTGTGTGAGTAGTGCCTTGATATGATGATTATGAGTGGTAATAAATTGTGCTCGAAACGTGGTCAACAGAGGCTTCATCAAAATAAATTTTCTTCATAATAGAATTCAGTTAGAAATCAAGTGAATCCCAAGGAACACTGGACAGATTTTATTTTCTAGTCTAGGAATCTTTAGAAGTACCACACAAACAACTGTATGAGTCGTCGAGTCAGGGAATCATTATGTTGACAACATTCAGCTAGTGAACAGGTTAAAATCCAATAACACATAGTTTAGCGATACAACACCATTGGCACCTGATGTCACCGATCAGTTATCGGTGTTTCACATTCAATCATGACGACACAATTGTCAACTGTTTTCCCAACCTAAGGGCAAAATAAAGTATGAATGAATGAGACTCATTCATATCTTCACAGACACAATATTTGAGTAAAACATTATTCATTTTGTTTCAATCAACTTCAAGAAACCCTTTTTAGAAATTGGTGTAAAATATATCTGAACACTTGTAACTCTCAGGTTGAACGAAGAAACACGAGTTAGAAAGAATAATTAGATAAAGATTAGTATAGATAATGACAAGGAATGAATACATATTTGCATTGTTTAGGACGATTTGAACCCGTATTACCAACAGTCTCAAACAATTGATTCTTAGCGCCTTGGGAACGCCAGTCTTCCTTGTCAAGCAACGTTCCTTGAGATAGAATTAGATTGGAAAAGAGTTAGGGGTGGTCATATCAATCCATGAAGTATTTTACTGTTGGTTTGAGCCATTTCGGTGGATGTAGACTGCCTGGTTGGTGTCCTCTCTGTGTCTGACTGTTTTCAACATAGAACTTTGCATCGATGTGCACCAGTTCAAGTTGCCACACTCCCTTCATGTAGCACGCAAAGCAAAGGAAAAAAGTAGAAGAAATGCGTAAGAGAGACAGTAAACAGAGGTGTGAGACAAAAGGAATAGTAATAACGAAGAACTATATAGTTTCATTGGAAATCATAAGTCACAAGGAGTGGATGCATCTGCGCTGTCATTGAGAACGATCAATTTGAGCCATATCACCAATTGTTTCCAGCCTTCATTGGTTTTTACCGTCCCGAGGACTCTAACCAGTCAGGAAGTTTACATCTTCCTACGTGACCGGCTTAAACTAACTGTTGTGGATTTCATTGACTGGTGCCATGTTTGGGTCTTTTCCAACCTGACCTAGTGTCCGCTAACATTGCCCGTTGTCGAGGAAGGCGATCGATGACTAGGCATACGTAACACATGCCCTAACCATCTCAGTCGATGTAGCTTCACAGTCTCGTCGATTGATTTCCCCTCCTATCTACCTAGCACTCGACGCCTAACCTGCACTTTTATGCTAACTATAGTCCTTTCGAGTCCCTTATTTTTCGTTCCTCTGTCTTTCTTTACTACTACATGGAGTGTGATAAATTAAACACTGACGCACTTCATCACAAAATTCTATCTTAAAAAACGGTAACTAGTCAATATCGTTATCATAATTTAAAACTGATTTGCTCCTACTTCTTGAATGTGTTTATTTTCTTTATTTTGTCTTCCCTAGCTATATGTGCAAAAGCATTAGGCATTGAACTTAGAGATAGTATTGATATGTTTGGAAAGTCAAGATTTAGTAATACTTCAATCAAAGAGATTTTTAATCCATTTAAAAATGGTACACCTCGATGGAATCCAATAGAAACAGATTATACTCAACAAGTGTATAATTTAAAGAAAGTGAGTGTTATTATTATTATTTATTACTATTACTGTGGTGAGAGCAGGCTGCTAGCCGATTGGTTGGCACTAATCTACGTTAAGGTCTAGGTCACTAATGTGGGCCGTGAGAAGATATGAACAAGGCTGAGTCAACAACCAATCACAGCAAAGTTAACGTGGCAAAATATGATTCGCAGATAGAGAACTCTGTTTGTCAAGGAATCCCGAAACAACCAATCAGAAGCCTGCGTTTGTCTACCTAAACAACCAATCAGATGACTGCGCTTGTCTATAATAATGTAGTTGAAATATGTATAAATACGTGTTGATTTTCATAATAAAACGATCTGTTGCCTGACCCTTGTCTTCTGTTGTTACATTTGGTGTCGCTGCCTACCGATAAATGGAAAGCCTATGCCCTGCTGTTTTTGATGGAGACATATGGATCTTCGGGCAGGACTTCAAGGCTTCTGCGCAGTTGAGTGGCGTTCAAGATCTGTCAGCGATGGAGCTGCTACTTGGGACGCTGCTGGGAGGTCGGGTGAAAGCAGCATATGAAAGTGTGAGCCGAAGTATGGACGAATGTTCGACAGGGTCAGGCAAACAGTTTCCAAAGTGGGAAGGACCATATATGGTCACTTCGAGATGGGGTTACGCAGACACAGTCGCAATGGCGAACAATAAGAGGCGCGTGAACGTCAGCGAGCTCCAGAAATGGATACAGCGAGACAAGCCAACGATGACGCCTGCACCAAGTAGATCAAGCCGACTTCAGTCGCACGTATTTGACGGGGGGACGAGTGTGGTGAGAGCAGGCTGCTAGCCGATTGGTTGGCACTAATCTACGTTAAGGTCTAGGTCACTAATATGGGCCGTGAGAAGATATGAACAAGGCTGAGTCAACAACCAATCACAGCAAAGTTAACGTGGCAAAATATGATTCGCAGATAGAGAACTCTGTTTGTCAAGGAATCCCGAAACAACCAATCAGAAGCCTGCGTTTGTCTACCTAAACAACCAATCAGATGACTGCGCTTGTCTATAATAATGTAGTTGAAATATGTATAAATACGTGTTGATTTTCATAATAAAACGATCTGTTGCCTGACCCTTGTCTTCTGTTGTTACATTACTATTATTTATTTATCACTAGACAATTAACTAAACTTAATTGGGATTTTGTTGTTTTTTTGCTCATTACATAATGATTTCGAATGATGTTGCACTACAATTCTGATGTATCTGTGATGTCTTGCCGACTAGATATATATGATAATTCAATAAAAGACAGGTGTACCGTACTCATAATCCCTCTTCTCTGTTATATTTTAGGATTAAGGGACATGTTTTCTGGAAGGAGTGACTGTTGTACTCCCTTTGTACTACTGATATTGTGTTGAAACTTACCTACCTCCCCCCACCCTCACCTTGCGCCCTACACTGATAAAAAAAAGACTATGCAATGTTCCCAAGTGTTTGGATTTGGTTATGGAGTGGTTGATCTCAAGATAAATTCCGTCACCAACTAACATCAGCTAAAGAATCCTTGAAAACTAGGAAGTAGTAGACAGTTGTTTCTTCCTATCTTGGAACTCTTTGTCAGTGCATACTCGAGATCTTTAGGCTACCAAATGAGTCGATTGACTGTCTATCTATAGGGACAAAATTCAATGACTCATGAATTGTAACTTCTTTCAGTTTGTGTAAGAGGTTTCCGTTGGCGAGTGTATCTCCATACTCAACTAGGTGACAACCCCTATCGGTTACGATTTCTCATTACAACTCCATAAAGTTTATCCCGTAGGCAGTCAGTCACTAAACAGCCGTTAATTAATATTCTCGGTAAATGCGTCAGTTAGGTAAGTAAACTTTATAATAACTGAATGTGAACTGAGTAGCAATCGTGTTACACGTCCTGGCTACCTAGTTATCTGGGTCATTATTACTGTTGTTATTATTACCAACATCTGCAGACGTCTGATAGTATTATGATCTCTTCAGTATTAGTAATACTTAATAAAACAACTGAATCGAATCCAATCTGTTTTGAATAAAATGAAGTCAATTGGTGGATGGTGACTGGCAGTTGAATACAGGATTCACATTTCGTTCTATTTAGGACTCGTCATCTGGATGTGCCTGCACTCCCCACTGAGTGATGGTGTTCCCATTTGAAGTTCGAATCCCGTGCCCGTAGTTTTAAACGCCAAAGCGTTATCCACTAAACCACTCGGGCCACGAGAGCCACTTTTTTTTCAGGGGAATGCAGGTACATCCAGATGACGAATCCCAAGTAGAATGAAATGTGTATTCTGGATTCCACTGCTAGTCACCATCCACCAACTGACTTCAAGTTTTAAATAGCCAGACATCTTCGAAGCATCTGCACAAGGAGCCGACATACCTAGCTCCACACGAGCAGGTGAATTGAATTCTAAATTCTGCAGATTTTCTAACTAGTTGGCAGGAGGAAACTCCATGTCTAGGTTTCGTACTTTCAAGTGCTCATCAGTTTTTTTTCTAGTTGAAGTCAATTTTTTTCTATTTCTTTTTTCTTAAAGCTTCCAGCAAGTCCGTTACTTATCAGTTTTGGTGGTGTAGATCCGATCAAAATGTATATTTTAGAATATTTAATTTATCATCTTCGACCAATTGGTATAACTCATAGGATTATACAAGAAATACCTTATCCATTAACAAGTGCTTACAATAATATTAACAACCAAGTCGAGATTGTATATTGAATAAAATTAAAAATTTTATTTGTATGACGATACTTTTTTTGTTTACTTTGTATTGTAGTCTCTCTGTTTGCTCTGTTTCGCTAGTCGTCTGTCTGTACAGTTAATCTAACTAAATTTAAATACGCCCATCTTTTTTTTTAATTATCACTTTTCGCGCCATCATGCTAAACTTCATTTAACCATATCTCATCATCATCATCATCATTGTGGTTTATTTCCTTTGCTCTTTCTTTTTGAATTATTTTCTACTAATCTGTACAGTATGTATGATCGTCTTTTCTTTTAAACTTTCATTCTTATTCTTACACGACATATTGCTTTCTTTCTTTGTTCTATTTTTCACGAATGTTTCATTGGAACATTGATCATAATACATATGTGTACATACATTATTTTTGAATTTTATATTAACCTTGAATACAGTCTGAAAAGTGAAATCAACTGCGGAGTTTTTAAATTCAAATGTAGTCTGATAATTTTTGTAATCATTCTTGAATATTTCGTGTTTTTTCTTCTGCTAATGCACATTGAAAATGATACCTAGCCTAGACTGATATCGAAACGACCGCCATTCAAATTTAAATCTTGAAATACTACAAATATGAACTACAAAAGAAGAAAGATTTTACATGCTTTCTCTTTTCATATCTTTTTTTATTTTCTAGGCATTTTAGTCTCTTTCTTTTAAAAGAAAATATACTAAACTCTGTGATTTATTCATATTTTATACATAATTGTGATTATTTTACAGGTTATCTTTAATATTTGTGTAGAATAATACTACGCAGAATTCATTGTAATACCTTTTGTGTGATAAACACTCTTTACGCCTTAAAGAGTCTGTAGCATTCCAAATGAATATAAAAGGCATTTTTATTGACCAGTACTCCTCCCTGCTGGTACTCCAATGCTTCTCTAACTGATATCAATCCGTGGTCGAACTCGGAAAAAAAAACAAATCTAATCCTTACGGACCAACTCTTGAAAATTAATCTGATACTCACCAGTGAGTGACTTGCTACAGGACTGAGTTTCCTGGAGTTCTAGTGAGAAGTCATGACCAATGAAGTCCATCCAGATGCCATGTGTGAGGATGGATTTCCCGCCAATGACATTGGTTGGTGTTCGCGCTAAATCACGAATTAGTAGAAGTTAGGCCTCATAGGATGGCCATTGAATCAGGTCTCAGTGACTGAATGGTATACGAGATTGCCTTGTAACCGGAAGGTCCTGGATTCGAACCCCAGTGAGTACGTACTGCCGATGATTCCTAAACCAATGGATTTATGCGATTCTGTGTGTGTATTTGGTTCATTGGTCTAAACACTCGACTTAGTTACTGATCATCACTGGGTCAATGGCAATAGCTTTCGAATCTTGCTCCACTGTATTTAGCCCTCATACAAAGTAATTGATTTTATTCCGCTGCTGCTCATGACATGGATGGACTATGTTGAAATGATTCGAACTAACTCATACAAAAAGCTGTCCGGTTCTTTTCGATTTTTAACACTTAACTAGTTTAGAGCTAGTGCTACCGACGCACAAAAGAATCTAGTTTAGATTAGCTAATGATGATACCTTACCTTCATCTGAATATTCACGAATCCGGGATTCGATTAACCTTGCTTCTGCTGTTGTACTGTCATATTTGTTCAACTCTGTGCAAAATTCGTCTTATTTACTATTTTCAGATTCGTTAATATAACTAATAAAGACTTCAAGTTCTGTCTGTCTGTCTGGATTCAACATAGAACTTGGCACCGAAGTGCACCAGTTCGAGTTGCCACGTTCCAAATAGCACACAGAGGTAGACAAGAAGATGAGTGAAGAGAATCAATAGAGTTTGACAGGTATAAGAGTGAAACAGAATGGGTAATGGTAGAAAGGAATATGAAAGATTACAGAGACTGAATACATCTGCCCTGGCCATTGACAACGATTTTGAGCCATGTCACCTATAGTCTCCAGCCATTGTTTCCTAGAGTCCCGAGGCCCCCAACCCGGGAGTCTGCATCTCCCTACCTGACTCAGTTTAACTGTCAAGGATTTCATGGATTTATGCCATGTTTTTGTTTGGCCACCACTGGCTCTTTTCCAACCTGCACCTATATCAGCTAGCAATGCCCGTCGGGGGAGGCGGTGGTTAGGCATGCGCAGCACGTGACCTAGCCATCTTAGTCTACGTAACTTTATAGCCTCGTCGATTGATTTTCCCTCTTTGCCCAACACTCTACGCCTAACGTCAACATTACTTATCTTGTGAAACCACCTAACGTGAGACAGAGATCGCAGACATCTATGATCGAAAGCAGTCAACCTTTTCATGTCTTCAACGCGTATTGGCCATGTTTCAGAGCCATAGAGAAGGACGGAGCGAACTGATGAGCAGTACACACTTCAAGTTAGACTATAAAGTGACATTAATTATGAATTCATTGAAAATAAGGGGCGGGTACTGATTAGCTATTAACCATAGTTTCAGGCTCATCGGAAATACTCATTCATGATCCCACCAAGGTTTGAACCCAGCTGTGACCGGTGGGATTCACCAGGTCGATTGTGAAGATGAATACTCCCTGATGACATCGGCTAGAATCGGCAGTATAAGTTGCTCATTGACAAAAGTTAGAATTCATGGACTGTTGGACTCCGTCCCAGTGACTAGATGGTCAGCAGTCTAGCCTCTTAACCTCTTGGGTCCGACCTTTGGTGAAATGATGGGTGCGTACTTCTAAAGAGTTGCGGACCAGTGGGAAACAGATGTCTAGTAATCTGGGGTTTTCAATACTTCTCTAACTGATATCGATCTGGGATCATCCAACTTGACACTAATCAGATCCATGTATAACAACACTGGGAAACTAATCAAGATTTATTTTAACCCTCAGGGTAAAAAATAAGTCAAAGTTGCATAACAATTAAATATATTCTTTTCTGAATGTTGTTCATTTTAATAATAGATTAACAGGGAATCAGATACGCACTATTTGTCACTCCTCTGATTTTTTCCAAAACATTGAGGAGTATTTGTAAGCTAGAATATTTTGACAACAAATTAGATTTCAATCGCATTCTGACTATTCTTCACCTTTAAGTGCGAAACTTAACAATTTCTAGATCAGACTTTTTAGAAAATGTTAACTAAATTTTCATTGAAACTTCCTTTGCATGGTTTACATCCTTCGTACTATTATTGTTATTATTCCGTTAGGCTTCGAGCGGAGCATAGGGCTTCATCATCTCATCTCCATTTTATCCCTATTCTCTGCCATGCTTTATAGCTGTCTACATGATTGCCCGTGAGATCTCACCTCCTTCTCGCACGATCTCCTCTATATTACCCTCAGACACCTAACTTGTCGTTTTCCATTGGGATTCCACTCAAGGCTCTGGCTAGTGATGTCACTGAATAAACGGTCTCCTCGGCGTGTGTCTTCACTTCCTTCGACATATTTGTAGAGCTATATGTTCTTGGTCGGTTCGTCGCTATATTTCCTTGTTGTTTGTCATCCTTTCTGGCCATCTGATCTTCTGTATGGACCCATTGAAGACAGCCGTTAATAAAAGCTTACAACATCCTATTTTCGTGATGCAAGAGCCAACAAAGTCTATGAAGTATATGGAACCACTGACTCAGCATTAGTGTTGAACTGTCATCGTTATGCTACCTGGCTTTGACATCTTTACTCGTGCCGAATGCCTGCAGTTGAAATGGTGCTGTCTAGATGTGACTTCCTTCAGATTTCTCCCGTTGAAAGTGACTATTGTTGTTGTTGTTGTTGTTGGTCATCCGATATCTTCATCACCTGTACCTTCTTTATGTTCACTTGATGTTCTGTCTTCTCTTTTGCTCCACAGAACTCTTTTACTATTAAAGAAACAAACAGAAGATAGAATTCAAAGTATTACACAGGTCAAACAGTATGCGGATGTAAACATGGCAACAAGTCTTGTGTGTGTGTTTCTAGTGTAGTGTTATGTAATGTAATTATCTGACATTAACACTAATTATTGATCACATTCAACAATGAAACTCATACACATGTGTAGAGTGTGTGTACTTTATCTAACTAAAGTTTGTACTCAGCCGATTCAAACAACAACAAAAAACTTCAGTAATATGATAAAGACAATAACACTTTGAGCAAATAAATACTGGAATGTACCACCACATATATAAGCGATGTACAAATGCATTTCTTATAAGTTCGAAGGTTATATTTAATTAAGGTTTGTTTCCATGACGTGAGATGAGTAGCTAAAAATAATACTGAATAAATATTTTGAGTTCTGTTTCATAGTGTAGATTCTGTTCGGAGAATTTCAAACCCCCTGTATGTATATATATATATATATATATATATATATATACTTCTATAGTTTGGTTTGTAAGGGTTAGTTATATTTTTACGAGTTGATCACGGATTGATATCAGTTAGAGAACCATTGAAAACCAGCCAAGGAGTACTGGACAGCTGCTGTTTCATCCTAGTTTGGGTTCGAACCGATGCGGTGGGTGCGTACTGTCGATGATTCCCAAACTAGGATGAAACAGCAGCTGTCCAGTACTCCCTGATTTTCAATGGCTCTCTAACTGATATCAATCCGTGATCAACTCGTATATATATATATATATATATTGTCCAGAAGGTTTGACCCCCCCCCCCGATGTCACACCTGGACAACCAGCTCTTCATTCCCCATTCGATATTTAGAAATCCTAAAATTAAGAGAACAAGAGAGATTATTTATAGTGGAGATTATAGTGACTAAAGATCAACTACTCTTTTGGTGTTAACATGAAACTCATAAGCTAAAAATAAATCTCAGCTGAATTAAGCCGAAATCAACCCACCTATTTTCTATGCTGTAATATATTTGAGTTTATTTGGCATATTCTGGCTAGCAGTGGAATCCAGGACGCGTGTTGAGTCCTGTTTAGGACACATCAGTTGAATATAACAGCACCCACAGTGAATGATGGCTTCCTCTGTGAGACTTGGACCTAGCACACAACGCCAACAAACACTTCTTGATACTTTATACTTCTTGTAAAAGACCTGATTCGTGCGGTCTAGTGAATAAAGCTTCAGTGTTTGAAACGATGTGTGCAGGATTCAAATATCATTGGGAACACGGTCACTAATTGAAGATGCAGGCATATCTTGGTATGACCAATTTTATGAAATGAGGAAACATTTAGTTTACACATCCTGCGCTTATCACACAATAGGCAGAGAACAGATCTCATCGCAATTCTCAAAATTCTAAGAAATGACTATCTGACTGCTCTTTATACATTCTTACTTTACAACAGTGTTATAATTATTTGTAATATTAGTATTTGTATTTCGCAATGACCGAATTAAAGGAATTCAAGCAAAAACACAAAGATGGATGAATTTAGGAATTTGTATTTGGCGGAATTATAATTCAATTCATATAAGAAATATATTAGGAAACAACAGTAAGTATTTAAACAATACAGAGATAGAGATACATGTTTTTTAAACTTAGAATTGTGAATTTGATTTTTTTTATTGATTTTTAATTTTTATTCCTTTACTTCCCCGGTGGGACACAGGGCTTCAAGCTAGGGGCTTGTAGTTTCGGTAGCAGTGGTGTTTATTTTTACGGGATAGCGTTGCTGGCCTCACACCCAGCCTTTCCGCTTTACTGGTCTTATTAACCGCTTGGTGAGGTAAAGAAGTGCGTTGGCGGCCGGGGATCGAACTCCGAACCACCTGCTTTGTTGGCAATCCTTCTACCGCTGTGCTACCGACGCACAAGACGAATTAAATCATCCATATTACGGAAAAAACCGATCAATGACTGTGTCTATCACAAACCAAAGACTACTGCTAAAGTCAAAGAATTAATTCT